ATTGATATGATCATCATCATCATCACTATGATTACTATGATTATTATTATTATTATGATATTTATTATTATCATGATTATTATTATTCTTATTACTATTATGGTTGTTGTTGTTGTTGTTATTAGTATTTTTTTATTATTATTATTATATTACACGGAGTAATTACAATTAAAATTATAGAAATAAATATTATAATTATAATTATAATTATAATTATAGAAATAATTATAACTAAAAATATAATTACAATTATAATTATAGCTTTTTTTTGTTTACTCTAGGAGACGTCTGGGGGAGGGGGTCTGGGGGGGGGGGGGGTCTGAAGTAAACTAGGTTGAAACTCATCCCATTGAGTTTCGAACCCGAGACCTCCCATAAGGGAGAGTGAGTCGGCGACCAGCTGAGCTGGACCGCTTCCTCTAATTATAGCTATATTTATAACTAGTGTAATACGTATAATAATAATTATACCTATTATAATTATTATAATTATAATTATATTTTTTTATAATTATGATTATAATTATAATTATATCTAAATTATATATGTGTAATTACATTTCTAATTATTATAATAAAAATTATAATTATAATTATAACTTTAGAAATATTTTAATCAGACCAGATCAGAAGGATTAAGATCAGATCAGAAACATTCAGATCAGATCAGGAACATTCAGATCAGATTAGGAACATTCAAATCAGATCAGGAACATTCAGATCAGATCAGGGACATTGAGATTAGATCAGACCAGATCAGAAAGATTCAGATCAGATCAGATCAGATCAGAAACATTCAGATCAGATCAAATCAGAATTTAAAAAATTCAGATCAGAAACATTCAGATCAGGTGAAGAGAACAACTTCTAAATCTCCTATTATAGAAAATAGTTTTACAAAGAGGAAAGACAAAACAACCGATAAATGATACGCAAGTTGCAATCATTGCAATACGGAGTATAGCTTGGGAACTTCCGGCGGATACGGAAGCCTCGAAAGGCATCTTAAGTCCGCGCACTCTATGGAGTATGCGAAAACAGTCAAAGGCAAGGGGAAGCAGACTCAAATATCGAGGTTTGCAAATGACCAACCTTTTGGTAATTTCTCATACAATGATGCACGAAATTTGACTGGTGTGGCTAACTTACTTGTTGAAGAAAATTTGCCTTATTTGTTTTCTGAAAGTCTTGCTTTTAAAGATTATGCACAAACTTGTTTAAATCCTCAATTTAGAAGTTATAGTCGCAAAACGGTTAAGAAAGAAATTATAAGGATTTATCGTGCGGAAAAGGATAGGTTAGAATATTTTTTGCAAACATTGATGGCTGTGTTACTATTTGTTCTGACATTTGGGAGGATACTTATCATAATTTACATTATTTGGGTCTGACTGCACATTTTATTGATAATGATTGGAATTTGCATAAACGTGTTCCTGCTTTTGGATATTTTTTTTTTGGATAAACCGTAAATATATATATATATATATTATCCAAAGTAAAGGTTACAAGGTTTCAAAATTTAAAGCTCCCCCCCCCACCCCCTCCCGTAAGATGGGAGAGGGTTGGAAGAAGCTTTCAATCACGACGAACATCACAGAAACATAGCCAAGGGGCTCACAATGCCGCGGCTCAAAAAATCATACGAACAGGATAAACATGCGGCTGGATGCACGCACTTGAAAGACGTTTCGGATCTATACTATACCGAGGCTCTCAACATAGTTTCTTATGGCTTTCTCAAAAGGTGATCAACTCATGTGGATATATGTTGTAGAGGACTTTATATACCACATGTTTGATCTTGGCAATCACCTCCTCCTCTGTCTTGTTTTTTTCATCAAATCTGCACTCATTCCTAGCGTGCCAAATGTAGTACACAGTCGCACAAACAGCAGTGCAGGCAGCTTTGGCTTTCAACGTCGAACCTCTATATGTCTTCATGATCCATTTGATCGAGCTCAACAACGTAGTCATCTCATGCCTTAGGCCCAACCAGCTCCTAATGTGATGCCACACCCTACAAGTAAAAGGGCATAGAAAGAAAAGGTGTGGTATTGTTTCCAAACCACCCTTGCAAAGATCACATCGATTCACGACATAAAGATAACCGAGGCTATCCTGTGTAGGTAGTCGGTTTCTCAAGGCAAGCCACGCATTAAATGAGAGTTTAGGGGGGATATAGGATTTCCATATTAAACTCATAGGAGTCCTTCCTTCACCCTTAACTCTTAACAAGTCATAGATCTTGGCGGAGGCTAATTTACCATTAGGTGTTCTTGCTTTTCGTGAATTTAATGATCGTCACACCGCTGAACATATTTATATTTTGATTGAACGTATTTTAAATGAGTATAATTTGATTGATAAGGTGTTTGCTATAGGTTTTGATAATGCTACTAATAATACTGCTGCTATACCTAGATTGTGTGAATTGTGTGGTTCTAATACTTTGATGGATAGATTTTTTCATCAACAATGTGCATGCCATATTATAAATTTATGTGTGCAAGACGGTCTAAAAGCGTTAGGAGATGCTATAGTGGTAATCACGGGGGGGGGGGGGGGGGTGGGGGGTGGGGTGGGGGGGGGGGATTAGACGTATTTGGGGCAATGGTCAACTTAAATTAAAATGGAAAAATTATTTGATTGAAAGAGGTGTGAAATATGTTGCTTTTTCTAAAGATTTGTCTATTCGCTGGAATAGTACTTATAAATTAATTAAAGTTCTTCTTAGATATAAAGAACTTTTTCCTGCTTTTTTAAGACAATATGATAACTATATTTTAAACTCCACTCACATCGACACTTGCGAAAAAATTTGTAATGTTTTGATATTTTTTAATGATGCAACTGAAAGTTTTAGTCATGTTTATAAACCTACCTCAAACGAATTTATTCGTGAAGTTGTTAATCTCGTCGGTGCTTTTAATGAATTTGAGAATGCCGCTTACGTGAGTTATTTTTGTGGTTTTATGAAGGAAAAGTTTTTTTAAAATATTATGCACATATTCCGCATATTTATGGTATTGCATTTATTCTCGATCCTCGTTATAGACTTGGTAATTTGGAAGATTGTTTCAACTTCTATTATCTTGCTTTTTTTGGTCCATTTCCAATGTATGACGATAACGCCATAGATCCGCAAGTTGAATACAACGAGGTTAGTAATTTATTTTTTGCCTTATTTAATGAGTTTCATGCACAATATGGCAACGCGCCCCTCCCCCGACACAAACATCTTCATCTTAAGGAAAATCACTTTTTAAATCTGCTTTTGGCAATCTTATGAAAAAAAAACTAAAACAACTCACACTACTGAAAAAAGCGCACTTAATGAGATTTCTTTGTATATAAATTATGAGGTAGAATTTGACGAAAATGATGAGTTTGACGTTCTAAAGTGGTGGAAGTCAAAAGAAAGAATCTTCCCGATTTTGGCACGGATGGCTAAGCAAGTCCTATCAATGCCGGTTTCAACAGTTGCCGTGGAACAAGAATTTAGTTCGGCCGACAACGTTCTAACGGCATCTAGAACGAGTTTGAGCGCAGAGTCTCTTGAGACGCTTATATGCTACCACGATTGGTTGAAGGCCATACGTAGAACTCAAGAAATTAGCATCACCCCCTCCCAAGACTTTATGGATGAATCAACAACCAAGGGTGGCTCCTATGTCAGAGATTCCGTTTGATTAGTATTTTACAATTTATTATAAAATGTATTTCATGTTTTAATTTTCCCCTCAATTCTCTATTGTAATTTGTAAACTTATAGTTCATATTTCAAATAAATATACATTCTTTTTTTTATATGTAGCACTTCTCAAATTAATTAATTAGTTACAAACTTACAACTTACAACTTAGAATTAATTATATTAGTATTTATTAGAAAATGTATTTCACATTGAAGTTGTATCAATAAGTAAAGAAAAAAATTACATAGGCCCGACTCGACCCGGCGGGTGGCCCGGCCCAGGACTCGGACGGGTGACCCGGCCCGAACCGGCACCGGCCGAAGGACGGGCCGGTCCCGGGCCCCCATTCCAGAACCGGAGGTCCGACCGGGCCCGAGTCCAGGCCTACAAGGGACACATGAGCTTTGACAAAGGGTTGAGTAGTAAACCTTTGAATCAAGAGAAGGAAAGGGGGAAATCAAAGAGATTGGTTCCCGATCGATTGTAGATAGGGATGGACTCGGTTCGGGCCAACTGGAACCAGCCCACTACTGTGCGGAACTGGTTCCGGTTCCGGGCCTAGGCCCGGCCCAAGGGGGTAACCGGTTCCAGTTCCGGGTCATGAAAAAGGCAAACCGGCCCGGCCAGTTCAAGCCTTTTTTTTGGTATGGATTGGGTTTAGGTGGGCTGGGCTGGGTGTTACTGATGGGTTTGGGGGGTGGGGGTTGAAATAACTAAGAAAACAAAAAAAATGAACCAGAACTGGATCGACTCGGAACCATTAGACTCCCGAGCCGGTTCCGATACTTACACAAAACCATCCAAGCCCGGCCGGATCCAGGCCCGAACCGGAACCGGACCGAGCCCGGTCCACCTCTAATTGTGGACAGGCTGAGATAACTTTTTTCAATCGGGTCAAAATTCAACTTTCAGAACTAGAAACATTTTTTAGCAGGATAAGAGTATAAGACATTGAAATCGGTTACTTGGCCCGAATCAGTGTTTTGGTTAAAAGCCCTAAAATTGTGGTGTTACAATCCTAACGGCTATATGCCCCTCCACCATCTCCCCTGATAAGAGTATAATACATTTAAATACATGTATTTAAAAAAGAATCTAGCTGCAGAACAGAGACCAAGCACGCCGGACACAAGTCCACCTCAGGCACAGGTTGGGGAGATTGTTTTAGTCACCTGACAGGGAGGGAGGACTGAGGAGTGAAACCCCATCCTCATTGCCATCCCTTCCCAGGTCCAGTCCTTAAAACAGGCATTAAGCATGCATAATTAGTTGTAGAGAAAAAATAGTACTACGTATAGTATGTATGAACAAATACAAATTTAACAAACGATATAAATTAACTTGAAATAGGAACCATATTTCCCATTGAGATCTCGTTATTGGTAATATATGCTCGTCAACAATTCATGATTAAGATAAAAAGCAACTAAATTGGAATATCTACAAGTGATGTCTTAACATCATTACTTGATAAACATTATGATCTAGTCATTGTTACATAAGAGCATATTTTGTGGCCCCTTCAAAATACATAGTCGCTGATATCCACACCTTCTACACTTTCTACACTTCAATCATCTGCAGCTTAAACAATAAAAAGTAAATGAATCACTCCATATATATTTAATCATACAACTCCTGTATAGGCCTGGGACCGGTTCGGTTCTTAGGCGAAATATGTGGAGCCGTTTGAAAATACTGAAATTGTCCTAAATAGGAGTAAAAATGTGTTGAAATTCCAAAATAGGAGTATCATGTTTTTTATTCCCTGGATAAGAGTAATCTGCCAAGTTTGGGAAAAAATGTCATGTTAAAATCCTTGTAATGCCGAACTTGGCAGAAATTTACTCCTATTCAGGGAATAAAAAACATGATACTCCTATTTTGGAATATTTCAAAACGTTTTTACTCCTATTTAGGGAATTCTCTCTTGAAAATATGAAATTTTGCTAACGGTTCGATTCTTATAAATTATTTTAGAGAACCGATAAGGAACCAAACCATTCTTAACGGTTCGGTTCTTGTCATTTAACGGTTCATAGTATTTAAAAAATTTCTTACAAATCACGATTAAATTTGTGCCAAAAAGACATTTAATGTTTGAAATTACAATATAAATATGTTGAACATCATTTCAAACCTCAAAAGTTGAGTTTAAAACATAAATAAATAACAACCCGCAAATTTTAGGAAATAAAACAAAACAAGTGATAGAGTATTAATTCTAGAGAGAAGTGAGAGCTAGAGAGAGAAAGTGAGTAATTATATTTCTCAACCCCCTATAACTAGCCCCAAGGGGTCTATTTATAGGTAAAAATGTGGACTTGGGCTCCTAGCCATGGGCTTAGGAGGCCCATTACAATAATCATGCCTTCTTTGGGCGAAATAAGGCCACTAATGGACTGAGTACAATACTTGGTAAATAAAGTAGAGAGGAGTATTCTGCCAGGACGAAGTCTGGCCGATGCGGTACCTTTTGGCCGACGCAGTCCCATGGCCGATGCAATCCATTGGCCGACGCGGCCCCGGAAGTCCAGGTGTGTTTTCTGGGCCGGTTTGGTTCCTGGTCGATGCGGACCCACTGGGCCGAAGGGGGCCACGTGGATGTTCTTCTGGTCATCGTTGACTTGAGTATGTGGGCCATGGGGTCCAGGCCCATATACTCTATCAACAAGATATTCGCTTAGAAACCCAAAAGAACCGTTTAAAATGAAAAATAATTTTTAAATAGTTAAATAACTAAACTAAAATAGTGAATGTAATATAAAAATAGATAAGTAAATATACATTAAAATATATATACTAAAAAGAAATATATACAATTTTAATTATTATATATAACGGTTCTTTAACGGTTCCATGTACATATTTTTTTCAGGAACCAAAAACCAAACCATTAATACAAAATAGGAACCGAACCATTAACAAATAACTAATAAATTTTGAAACCAAACCGAACCGGGTCATAACGGTTCGGTCCAGTTCAGTTCTCCGGTTCTTGGTTCCAAACTTGGGGAAATCTACATCAGCACTCTCAATGTATATATCATTGTTCTAAAAATCACTCTAAGTGCACCACTAATCGCCCCCTAGGTGCTAAGCGATGGCCGGATACCCCAATTTTAGTCTAGGCGCTCTGACTAATTGTTTTGACGCCTAAGTAAATTTGTCAACCACCTAGGACATCATGTTGCCGCCCAGAGCGCCTAATCGACCACCTAGGGTGACTACATTCATTGAACAATTTTTGTTGGTTTTTTAATTTGTTTTTCGAAGGTATATATGTACTTTTAATTTAACCACATATGAAAAAAAGCAATTAATAAACTAAGATAAAAAAGTATAATGTAGGGGTGCGTTCAAGTAAAAAGTAACCTTCTCATGCAAATGGATGGATTAGATGAAATTTAATCACAATACACATTATCAAAAAAAGTGCAAAACGTTCATTGTATAACGTGGATAGATAATGAACAAAAGTTTACTCAAAAGTGTTAAAAAAGATTAATATTTTTTTTAATCTATGCACATTTAATTATGTACTGCAATGCACTTTTGTGTACATTCTTACTTTTTGCATTTCCTCGTACATTTTCATCGTAATTATCAATGTCACCGTGTTTCCTACTTAAAATTTGATGTCTTCCATCCATTTTTTCACATCAATAGCCATGGTTATTTCTTATTTTTCATCTATGAACTACTTTTTATTTGAACCAAAGTATATATATATATATATATATATATGTATATATATTATTTTCAATGTTCATCAAGCGATTAAAATGACAAATTATAGTATTTCATTGTTTTTCATACTCCCGAATTCATCTTTATCAATGTTGCACAACTTGTTGTCGCTTGGGCGGCTACTAAATTTTCATCATGTCGTGTATGAAATGGGGGTTATAGGGTTGGATACGTGTATCGGTTCACAGGTACGGGTATCAAAAGTATCAGTGTTATTACAAATAAGCCCGATACTTTTATTAAATTACGGATATGGGCTCAATACGTACATGACGCATATCGGTGAGTATCGGATACAGCATCGGGGTGAAGTATCGGTACATCATAGGCTGGTCTGGTTTGGTCTGAACTGGTCTGATTTCTTTGTATTTTTATGACTATCCAAATCGGGTCTGCTCTGAGACAAATTACAATCCAAGTAAAAACATCCTAATTCCTTAGTTATAATATATTATTATGTGACAATCTTATTATTCATGTTAATGTGTCATGTGTGTATAAAACTATAGGGAAACGGGTCAAATAGGCCCTCAAACTTACATAAAAAGGTCAAATAAGCCCTTATATAGGAGGCTTTGTCCGGTCGTCGCCATTTAGGACAGTTCCCGGTGAAATTTTTTTATGAATTTTTTTGAGCATCTTATTCATTAAGTCTAGTTTACTCATACCAAATTTCAGCTAAAACTTCAATCGGGAAGACATTCAAATGAATTCTTGAAGATAACTGCGCAGTTATCTTCAAGAATTCATTTGAATGCCTTTCCGGTTGAAGTTTTAGCTGAAATTTGGTATGAGTAAACTAGACTTAATAAATAAGATGATACAAAAAATTCATCAAAAAATTCCACCAGGAACCGCTCCAAATGGCGACGGCCGGACAGAGCCTTCTGTATAAGGGCTTATTTGACCTTTTTATGTAAGTTTGAGAGCTTATCTGACCCTTTTCTCTAAAACTATACACAAACACCATACTTGTTATCATACTTGTTGGGCACTACCCTGACGCCCGCATAGCACCCGCATAGCCTGACCAAGCTAATTTTGGTCATGCACAACATATTTTGCCCCAAATAAGATGAGTTTTTAAGACTCACTAAACTAGTTATGAACTTAATTTCCAGCTAAACTATGCTATTTACAGCCGATTTAGTTCTCAATGCACAAAAACAGCCCTTACCATTAGAGTAAAAATATGCTACTGAATTGAGTATAGATTGCATAGTGAGGAACATAACCAAGTACAAAAGAATGCATGGTAGTCTATAGTTGATAGATAAAAAATTATATGATCCCTAAGTCCTAAGAAATACTATCACCGAAGAATGTTATTAAACTCGCGTAAAAGGCCGTGAGGGTATAATATACACATTTTTGCCAGTTTTAGTCCTTGGACTATTTTTGTGAATGACACTTTCAATATTCGCTTTTTTAATATTTCCAGTTTGATTTCTCTGGTTTTGTCAGTATATACACTTTTGACACTCTCCTTTTAGTATTTCCACTTAAGTCATCTGACTATTACTAATGAGGAAAGTTCAGTATTCCAAATACAGTCATAGAGTGACACTCTTAGTACTCCACCTATTTACAAAATTTAGAAGCCTAATGGCAAAATAATTAAAGAAGAGTACCTGAGATGTCCTTGTCACAACAGCCGAAGGATTCAAAGTAGAAGAATTCAAAGTGGAATGCCAAACAAGTCAATAGTGTCTATTATTTGCACAACACAAAACCCAACTCAAGAAAAGAAACCACACACGGGAAAATACCAAGACCGGAAAATCACCACTCAAGAGAAAAACATAACTGGCATCCAAAAGCTTCATAAAGCAGCGATTTTTTCTTATCTAATAGCAAAAGGCAGTTAAATACCTGACATGGTTCATCATTACTTGGAGAAGCAAGCTGAGTCAGCTCACACGCCACAACTTTAGTGCAATATATCTTATAGATCACTTCAGCTATATAGGTCTTTCTTGACTCAGATTTAGAACCAACCGCATCAAAAGCGATATAAAATGTTGTACCGAGATAAATTTTGCACTCAGCATACCAAATCTTCTTGAATATGATATCCTCGTCTCTTGGCTAGAGGGATTGATAAAACATATAGTTATGCAACTGACAAGTACACATAAAATTACTATCAAATAAAAAAGTGCAATACTAATCTGAATGAAGGGAGAAAATCTGTTGAGTTTACATGTTGCATGTTGTAGAACGCAATTGCTTCATGGGTACAGTTCTTCAAAATTTCAAAAAGCTCCTTATCCTCCAAACTGACCGGAAATGTCTTCCCTAAAACCAGAGCGGGGCAATTGTCGAGACCTATTGGCTAAATAGATATCATCAAATAGTCAAATACAACTACTAACATGGCTTAATTCATATACATTGCAGTCATTGTTAGTTTATTAATTATGGTTTAATTATTACCCTGTACAAAATGGGTGGATCCACATTAGAACCAGGCAGAACAGTGGCCCAGGGTTTTAAATAGCGGCAGCGGTCATAACGGTAGCGGTCAATGCAGCCGCTGTGATGCGTACAGCAGCCGCTGCGGCGTGAAATATTTTCAAGTTCGTCAATGGTGATGTGGTCTCGTTGTGGTTGGAAGCGGCCTGTTGCGGCCAGTAGTGGCGGCATCGCGTTTCCGTAGCGAATTTCATCGTGATTTGCATTCACCCCGCAATAGCCGCCTGTAATGGTAGCGGAGCCGGCCGCGCCCGCTATATAGCGGCCGCGCCCGCTATATAGCGGCCGCTACGCCTGTAGCGGTCCACTATTGAAAACCTTGCAATGGATTACTAGAGGAAAAAATCGAAACAAATTCATTTAATATTTTGAAGGCAAAATCAAAACATTTTGGATTAAAGCATTTTGAAGCAGTGATGTCAATCTCAGAGTGTAGTGGCCTACAACAAAGACGCTAAAGCTGATAACGAGATTACCGCTATTTATACATTACATTACATACACATATGACATCAAAAAAATGATAAGTATTACTCAGTCTTAATTTTCATCATCATATTTATAAAGGAAAAGACTCACTATTTTTTGGCTCGGGAATATGATGGAATAAAGCAAAATGACTCACTAAACTGTCTGCGCTTCTTTGTTATAAAGCAGTAGTCTGTCCATATTTATATGCAATGGAGCCGAAGACACTATTTTTTGGCTTGGGAATATGATGGAATAAAGCAAAATGGCTCACCAAATTGTCTGCGCTTCTTTATTATGAAGCAGTAGTCAGTCCATTCAATTTTCGATGCGAATTTCACTATGGGTCATCCAGAAACAGTCTCTCTACGTGTTAGTAAGGGGTAAGGCTGCATACATCCGACCCCCTTACCCCACTGTAGGTGGGAACCTTTGAGGCACTAGGGTAATGATGATGATATTTACAAGGGAAAAGGATCAAATATGACCTTTTACTATTACGGAATCATCAAATAAGACCATGTACTTGATAAAGTGTCAAAAAAGTGTTAGATAAATACGTCTACTTATAAAAAGCAATCATATGAGTCCTAACGACCCATTGAAAACCTCCAAATCCTGCCTTAGCTTACTTGTCGTTATTTTTGTCTTTTATTTAAAGTTTTAAATCAATCCTGGCTAAATATTCCACGTGAACCATATAATCTGTTTTAAAAAGATAGCAAGACGTACGTTAAAATCGGAATTACAAGGTTGTCAAAAGGTCATTAAGACTCATCTGATTGCTTTTTATAAGTAAACGTATTTATATGACAATTTATGAAGTACACGGCCTTATGTGACGATTTTGTAATAGTAGAAGGCCTTATTTGACCCTTTTCTCTATTTATAAATGTTAAATTACCAAAAACAAAGTCATCCTTTGAAGTCATAAATCAAAAATGACACTCTTCTTATCCTAAAAATAGTTCAAAGTATTCCACAGACAAGAAAAGTTAAGATTAACTCGTAGAAAGGTTAAGATTAACTCCTAGATCCTGACTGAGACTTCTTAAGCTTTTTAATGTGTTAAAAATTTGTCTACTACTATTCTTCCCCATTTCTCCCCAAATCTGCTATGTCTCAATCTACCCTCTGACTCGCTCAAAGCCCTGTGATGAGATTTTGCGCACCAGCCACCAGTAACTAAGGTTGAGTCGCAAGTTGCGGCGATAGTCGATGAAGAACCATAAAAGAAACGACATGGTTTTCAAGCTTGGGATGAGTATTATGTACTTAGAAAGGTTTTAATATGGTTACTTTTTATTAAAAAAGCTACTTTACCCGTTCAAATTTCGAGATTTTGCGCACCAGCCACCAGTAACCAAGGTTTTAAATAGCGGTCCGCTACCGCTATAGCGGCCGCTATATAGCGGTTGCGGTAGGGGCCGCTACCGCTACGACCCGCTATTCCGCTGTGAATTCCAAATCACGGGAAAAAACCCGCTACGCCGCCCGCTATAGCCCGCTACAGTCCGCTACAGCCCGCTATTGACATTTCCGGCAGTACGTCACGAACGGGTTGATGTGTAAATGTGTCTATGTTGTGTAAATGAACTCTTAATGTTATAAGTGTTCAAACAAATATTCACAATGTTTGTATTAAATTCAACACTCATTAAATATATGTTTTGCGCAATTGAAAATATTTCACGCCGCTGCAATCGCTACAGTCGGCTACAGGCCGCTATAGGCCGCTACCGCGATGACCGCTACCGCTACCGCTACCGCTGCCGCTACGGCTATTTAAAACCTTGCCAGTAACTAAGGCTGAGTCGCAAGTTGCGGCGATAGTCGATGAAGAACCATAAAAGAAACGACATGGTTTTCAAGCTTGGGATGAGTATTATGTACTTAGAAAGGTTTTAATATGGTTACTTTTTATTACAAAAGTTACTTTACCCATTCAAATTTCAGTAGCACCATTATAGCACCCTCCAGAACCGTTGTAGCTGTGGGTATTCCCATTCTATTCCACAACTATTGACAGTATTGAGCGTTATTGAGATCATTGTTTTGAAGTGCTGAATTTAGGGGCAAAACGATTTCATTTCAGACTTTTAAAATGGGAATGGGGAACCAACCCACCCAACCACTCTACCCACCCACCTACCCATCGATACATCCATCCATCCATCCATGCATGCATACTCACACAGACACACACACATAGATGCATAGAGTAGTGATCAGGTTATTGTTTGCAATTGCGCAATGTCATACGCCATACGGCAAGCCTCATCTATTTCTCTGGTCATTGTGTAAAAGAAAATTTGGAAAAGGCCCAAAATCAAATGAGGCAATAGGCAGATAAGCATCGGAGAGAGGTAGTTCTAGAGGTGGGGGGCCCGGTATACTTGAAGATTCAACCCTATAAACTAAGGAGTTTAGCCAAAAGAGTCAACCAAAAACTGAGCCCTAGATATTATGGGCCCTTTGCAATAATTGAGAAGGTAAGTACTGTGGCCTTGCTGAAATTACCTGAAGACAGCAAGGTGCATCCGGTGTTTCACATTTCATTATTGAAGAAGGCAATATCACCTACAACAGTTTTTCAACCATTGCCTAGATGTCTGGATGAAGAATGGGAGTTACAGGTGGTCCCGGAAGACATTTTGGACACTAGAATAAACAAAGAAGGAAAGGTGGAGGTTCTGGTACATTGGAAGGACTTGCCACAGTTAGAAGACTCCTGGGAGTTGCTGCAGACACTGACAGATCATTTCCCAGGAGTTCACCTTGGGGACAAGGTGAATTTTCAGGGGGGAGTAATGATAGGCAGTGGGTAGAAAGTACTTTAATAAAGTTTACAAAAGAAGGGATAAGGGGGCTGGGGTTAATTAGCGTATTACTTTTCCTTTTAGTCCAGTCCCTACGTGGACTGACTACTAGTCAGTCCACATAAATAAGGGAGGTAGTAAAAATAAGGCAGGCGGTTATTCAGATAGTTGTATGTTGGAGATTGGACATCTCGAATCTTTATATATATAACAATGGGATCGGCTGGCAATAACTGTTCCCACCTGATCCCATTGTGCCAAACGATGGTAATTCCTCTTACGTAATTAGTGAACACGTGTCAATTAATAATTACCGATGATTATCACTTTTAATATTAAAGACTAAAGAGCATTTATTGAAATTCGTATCCACGATCTAAAATTTAGGTCGGCACACGATCTCATATAGCACGAGGCACGAACTGCAAGGTATGTTAAATTCATAAACACAACTTTATTACTCAAATTAATACGGAGTATTATTTAGCACACGTTGCTACATAAAATACAGATGGCATCACTGGAATATGCTTGAGTAGTTTGGACCACGTTTTGTAACCCCCTGCACACGTCCAGTCTCACTTCCAAATAACTACGTCTGCAATGACTATAGATACATGATTCAGCATAGGATTAAATTACCTTTGGCCGGAGCCCAGACATAAACGAACTCTTTTGGGTAAGGTTATCAAGATGTTACGTTTTTCGACAAAGTGCTGGATATTATAAAGTCCAAGACAAACTGGGCACTAAGACTGAGGCTGATTTGAGCATACACTACTCCATCTTTCAGTAACAAAAGTATCACGAATACTTTGGAGTGCGTCTTCCATGATTCTGAGGTACAAAAACATACTGGAATACTACAGTTTGGTCAAATGCTTCATTCCATCTAGAACCTAACGTGAATTTTTTGTAGAGAAAAGAGGCAAATAAGCCCTTCAACTATTTGCAAATTTGCAATTATGCCCTTGAGCTTGAAGAATTGCATATACACCCCTCAACTCATTGAAAATGATGCAATGAGATCCATTTTTACCTGTTGGTTGGGGGTAAGAAGATGACATATTACCGACACCAATAAGTAAAAAGGACCTGATTGCATCATTTTCAATGAGTTAAGGGGTGTATCTGGAATTTTACAAGCTCAGGGGCCTGATTGCAGAATTGCAAATAGTTGGAGGGCTTATTTGCCCCTTTTCTAGGGGCAGAGTGCACGCTACAATTCGGATTAGATAATTTATTTAAGACCACCGACAGAAAATATGAGACAGCAAGAGTAACAACGAGAGGAGGAAAGAGCTGCTATGAGCATATGAGTGACTATCGGAATACCGAAGGAGTGAAAGCCAGACAGAGATAGATGGAAGATAAATTTGTGAGGAGCAACTATGGACGATGGAGAGAGAGGCTAGACCGCTTTGAGAAATCAAGGGTTTCTAATGTATGTGAGTGAGATGCCTCAGTTTATTTTGATATGGGCCTACTTTGAGCTGACTTTAAACAAAAATGCTAGAGGTACCCCAATTTGTACCCCAATTTGTACCCCCACCTTATTTTTGTGGCTCACAAAAGCAACTCATTAAAGTTGAGCAATTCATTTATTGAAGTGGGCTTTTGTGAGCCACACAAATAGGTTGGGGTACAAATTGGGGTACAAAATGGGGGTACCTATAGCAAGGTTGGACTTTAAAAATGTTCCTTACTTTTTGTTCCATTGAATCTTTTTTCCATTTAAGGATTGGGTTGCTCTTATTCATAATTTCATATATGAAATCGAACATTGTTTAAACAAAGTTGATGAGTAATAATCCGTATTATGCACATGATTGCTGTTTAATTATTTATTGGCTTTGGTGTTTTTCTTCACTTCATTTGTGTTTAATATATTAATATACTCCGTATTTATTTTTTCTTAAATCATGATGATTCAAAAGATCGATCAGATATATTAGTAACTTGAATGATTGAAAGTAATCATACATACCCATTTCTTTATTTTATACTCCTTACTAATTATCAACGAATTGATTTTGTGAAAGTTTAATAAAGCTTAATAAGTTTAATCAAAATAGAATTCATGATATATTAAATTGTAAATTAATATATACTTTTAAGTTAGTTGGGTAGCATTTTCATCTTGCATGTCTTTATTTGATAGTGCGCATTTCTTAATAGGTCCTGAGATAGAAAAAAATCGTTATTAAACGATTATATATTATGATAGGATGCACGTAGTATATTCTATTTGAATATACTACGTGTTTTAAGTATAAGGAGTATTTGCTTTTAATGGTTCATTCATCTCAATTTGAAAGTGTCACTTATTTTCTGGCTTCAGATATTAAGCATTCATTCATTTTTACTACAATAAAAAAATCACATTCTAAGCTTAGTCCTAAAACATTCAGAAAACATTTAGAATCGTCTAACATGAATTAATCAACATATGAACAAATTAAACGAGTTGATAATTTTACGAATTTATTTACTTTAGTTATTTACCCTTTAAAATAATTATCTTTCATTTGTCTAAAATTTATTTATTTATACGTGTGTGATTTTGCTATAGAATGTGGGATAGGCTTAAACACGAATCAAATTTTACTACTACCTCCGTCCCGTATACAACTTCTCACTTTCCTTTTTCGGCAATCCCGAAATTAACTTCCGACTTCTTCCCACTTCCTTATTTGACAAATTCTCTACATCAAAACAGTGTCAAACAGTGTCAAAACGGTAAAATTTACCCCCAATAAGTTTATTTCCTTAATATGTGTGAAAATGAAGTGGGAAGTTGTTTAAGTGAGTCCTAGGGTTGGGACTTTGGAACCAAGAACCGGAGAACCGAACCGGACCAAACCGTTATGACCCGGTTCGGTTCAGTTCCAACATTTGTTAGTTATTTGTTAATGGTTCGGTTCCTATTTTTTATTAACGGTTCGGTTCTCGGTTCCTGAAAAAAATATCTACCAGGAACCGTTATATATAATTATTAAAATTATATATATTAATTATGGGTATGCATATTTTAATGTATATTTACTTATTTATTTATATTACATTCATTACTTTAGTTTAGTTATTTAACTATTTAAAACTATATTTTCAAAAAAAATAACTATTTAAAACTATTATTCACTTTAACCGGATCTCTTAGGCTTCTTAGGCATCTCATTAGGTCCAAACTCCAGCGGGTCGGAACTCGGAAGGTCCATAGTATTTAAAATTATTATTCTCTTTAACTCGTTCAACATATTTGTATTGTAATTTCAAACGTTGAATGTCTTTGTAACAAAAATTTAGTCGTGATTTGTAAGAATTTTTTCAAAGACTAGGAACCGTTAAATGACAAGAACCGAACCGTTAAGAACGGTTCGGTTCCTTATTGGTTCTATAAAATACGGAGTAATTTATAAGAACCGAACCGTTAGTAAAATTTCATATTTTCAAACGGTTCCACATATTTTACCTAGGAACCGAACCGGTACCGGCCCCCAGGCCTATGTTTAACAGAGACTACAGAGGGAGTATAACATTCGATATGGGATCGGAGTAGGGGAGTATAACAACTTATAGATTTCTTTTTTTAACATATCATACATGTATTTCAATTTTCAAAAGTAAATTTTTTACATATATTAACATTTTAATTTGTATATCCACATAAAAAAATGTGAACACTTTTAAAAATGTGAACACTTTTGTCCCGTGCATCGCACGGGTACGATACTAGAGGTCCTAGAACACTGTATCCATTTGTGAACTGTTCTATTGTCTAAATAAAAGCTCTCTTTCGGTTCTCTTACCTTATTGTTGTTTTCTGCATTACTGTGATATCTGTGATTGCAAGGTACTATCAATCTTATTATCACTATGGGCTTATTATTTAAAGTAGGATCAAACAAAAAAAAATAGACTGATTAGCCTTTCCCAGCCCAGGCGGTTTAAGTGTGCACTTTTCTCAGCTTTGGCGCTACTGCGCATAAACTGCGCTTCACACAGGATGTTGCGCCTGGCCATTGTTCAGTCCCTGAGCCTCATGTGCGCTGCGCCTGGTGCGCTTAAGCACCCAGGCGCTCGCTTTTGACTACCTTGCTTATGCTTAAGCACCTTATAAAATACAAAACAGAAAAAAGACCTTAAAATAGAGATGAATTGCTTTAAAAAAAATAGAGTAATACCGGATTTGGTTTTTTATAATCAGGTTTGAGATGGCACATCACAGCATCAATAGAATCTCCCAAATTGAGCACTTCAGCTTGATAGGTCTTCCTTAACCCAGACACACAATTATCCGCATCAAAAGTAATATAAAATCTTCTACCATACCCATTGATGAGGTTAGCCTTCACAATCTTCGCAAGAATGATATTCTCATCTGAACTCTACAGGGTAAAAAAGTTGTGAATTAAGCAAGTGACAAATTAAACAGAAAAGAATACAAGATTATTAATAATATAGGAGTAAAGTCGTTAAGTTATTAGGCGGTGTTACATTACATGTTCCCGATTGTAGAGGGCAATTGCGGATTCAGTCCCGGTCTTCACAACTCCGACAAATTCCACATCACCATCAAAATCGACAGGATGAACCTTGGAAAGCAGTGGCCAATCTGGGAAAACATCGACCTCATATGGGCCGTAAGTATGGAGTTGATAAGTGTAAAGCTTGAGTTCCTTCCTTAGATTTTTGTCCTCCACATGGGCCCATTCAGCACATTCATGTAAGCTCAGCTTTGACCTCTCACTTTCTATTATATATCCATAGGCAAAGTAGCAGGGTCGGCTCTCCTCGCAGTCAATTGTGATCGCTCCACCCTTCTCGCTCCCCACTGTGATCTCCTCTTCGATCTTGAGTAGAGAGATTGAGTAGAAGTAATATAGAATTGTAGGGGAAAATGAAGAAATGGATAGAATGGTTAGATATTTATAAACTTTTAGACCCCCACCCCCAACAGCTATATAGCTGTTTTATAGCCCTTCCTAATGGTTGTATGCCCCTCCACCCCCACCCCTTTATTTTAAAAAAAATGAACTAGCCATTGGGACAGGAACCGGGCCCTATGAAAACTCAAGGGATTGTGTTGGATCTTTGGACTGTGAGGACTTAACATCATCACTGTTTATTAGTTGTAATAAAACACAAAACCCAACTCAAGAAAACAAACCACACTCAGGGAAAATGTAGAGACCGAAAAATAACCACTCTAGGGAAAAAAACATAACTGGCATCCAAAAAACTTCCAACAGCTATTAAAGCATTCATTTTTCCTTTTTTAAGAGCAAAAGGCAGTTAAATACCTGACATAGTTCATCATCACTTTCAGGATCAAGCTGACACGTCACAACTTTAGTGTAATATATCCGATAGATCACTTCAGCTTGATAGGTCTTTCTTAGCCCAGATTTAGAACCAACCGCATCAAAAGCAATATAAAATGTTTTACCATGATCAATTTTGTACTGAGCATTCAAAATCTTCTCAAATATGATATCCTCGTCACTTTGATTCTAGACAGATTGATAAAACATATAGTTATGCAACTGATGTGTACACATAAGATTACTATTAAAATAAGGGAAAACTATCAAATAAGCCCTCGTACTATACCATAAAAGTCGATTAGGCCCTCGTACTTTACAAACACTCAATTAAGTCCTCGAACTATTAAAAAACGTTCAATTAAGCCATTTCGGTCGGTAAGTAACCGGTTTCCCGGTTAAATGTGACCCGTTTCCCGGCAGCCACCGTTGCTGGGGTTCGAGCACATCGTCACCGTCGTCGCCGTTTAACCGGGAAACCGGTTACTTACCGACCAAAAGGGCTTAATTGAATGTTTTTTAATAGTTCGAGGACTTAATTGAGTGTTTGTAAAGTACGAGGGCCTAATTGACTTTTTCGGCATAGTACAGGGGCTTATTTGATAGTTTTCCCTTAAAATAATACTCCCTCCGTTCTTTAATAAAAGTCCTTCTTTCCTTTTTGGGACGTTTTTTTTCATTTGTCCTCCTTTCCATTTAAAGAAAGTTTTTACTTTATATATACCTTTATACCCCCACTTTTATTACCATTACCCCTTTCTCTTTCCTACTTTTTCATTTACCCACTACTCATTACACATTTTACACTACCCCTACTATTTTCCTCTTAAAACCCGTGCCAAAGCCTAAGAGGACTTATATTAAAGAACGGAGGGAGTATGCCATACTAATTTGAATGAAGGGAGAAAATATGTTGAATTTACATGTTGCTCATTGTAGAACGCAATTGCTTTATCGGTACAAGCCTCCACAATTTCAAACAGCTCTTTTTCCTCCGAAGGGACCGGACGTATTATCCCTAATTGCAGAGCTGGGCAATTATCCAGACCTATTGGCTACATAGATAGCACCAAATAGTCAAATACAACTACTAACATGCCACAATTCATACACATTGCAGTCATTGTTAGTTTATTAATTATGATTTAATTATTACCCTGTAAAAATGGGTGAGGATCCACATTAGAACCAGGCAGACAGTGGCCTACTAGAGGAAAAAACCAAAACAAATTCATTTGATATTTCGAAGGCAAAATTAAAATGTTTTAGATCAAAGCATTTTGAAGCAGTGATGTCAATCCCAGAGAGTAGAGCGTAGCGGCCTACAACAAAGATGCTGTAGCTGAGAGCGGAACAACCGCTATTTATACACCTTTTAAACTACATTACATTACATAAACATATTACATCCAAAATATGATAAATATTATTCAGTCTTAATCTTCATCATCATAATTATAAATGCCAAATTACCAAAAACAAAGTCATCCATCTTGAAGTCATAAATCACAAGTGACACTTTTCTTATCCTATTAATAGTTCAAAGTTGTTGTTGTTGTATTAATAGTTCAAAGTACTCGACTGACAAGAAAGAGGTCAAGATTAACTCCTGTAAGATCCTGACTGAGACTTAGAGCCTTAGAGGAGCAAAAGAGCTGAAGGTATAAGAAGAGAAGTTAGAGACAAACATAATTGTAGGCTGATGCGTTCATAGGATGTCAATTACACCGCAAAAGAAGGAATTTAAAAACCAGCAAGTGACACTAAAAAACCAGACAAATATTGAAGACAAATGAGTGATTCACCTACCGAGATTTGAAATCTTTGGAAATCTTATGTATTATTTTAGGTTTGCAATCTCTGAATTGTTGTATTTCTTTTTTTTTATTTTTTTGGTTGCTTTTTTTATTTAACTTTCCGAACTCTTTAAAGCCTATTTAAGGGCCAGTTGAATAGAGGGAGAATATGCGAGATTTGAGCAAAAAAGTAGTCTGAGAGTTCATGGAATTATAATAAACAATTCCAACTTATTGCGTTAAAAATTTGTATACTTATATTCTTCCCCGTTTTCTCCCCAAATCTTCTATGTCTCAATCTACCCTCTGACTCGGGCAAAATACACCGCACAACCAGCTGTAACGTGCACACCGTACAGCCGGGTATTTTATGTTAAAAGAAGTGAGTATACTCTTTAAAAAAAATGAGTATTCATACAACATTATAAAGTTAGCACAATAAATATTTTGATGTCAATACAATGATAATATAGTTAAATTAATGAGTTAATTTGTAGGCTTGTAGCATATATATTACATGTGGATCATGATACTTAATTGCATGCTTCTCCTTCAATTGTGCTACCAATACATTGATTTAATACCAATATTTTTTCTTTGGTTAAAGGGTCAAATAGGTACATGAACTAACTTAAAGTGTTCAATTAGCCCCTTATATAGGAGGTTCTGCCCGGCCGTCGCCAATTGGGGCGGTTCCCAGTTAAATTTTTTGATGAAATTTTTTTAGCATCTTCTTCATTAAGTCTAGTTTACCCATATCAAATTTCAGCTAAAAATTAAATCGGGAAGGTAGTCAAATGATTTTCCAAAATGTACTGCGATGTTTAACTGCGCAGTTATCTTCAAAAAATCATTTGACTGCCTTCCCGGTTGAATTTTTAGCTGAAATTTGGTATGGATAAACTAGACTTAATGAAGAAGATGCTCAAAAAATTTCATCAAAAAATTCCACCGGGAACCGCCCCAATTGGCGACGGCCGGGCAGAACCTCCTATATAAGGGGCTAATTGAACACTTTAAGTTAGTTCATGTACCTATTTGACCCTTTAGCCTTTTTCTTTTAAACGATATACTCATTTCTTTTAAAATGAAATACTCAATGTACCGTGTGCACAGTAAAACCGGATGTAACCAAGGTTGAGTTGCAATTGCGGCGGTAGTCATTGAAAAACCATAGAGAAAACAACATGGTTTTTACGGTTGGGATGAGTTTGACATACTTAGAACGGTTTTAATCTGGTTTCTCTTTATTAAAAAAAAACTACTTTACCCGTTCATATTTTAGTAGGGTAAGGGCCGCTATAGCGCCCTCGAGAACCGTTGTAGCTGCGGCTATTTCCATTCCATCCCACAACTATTGACAGTATTGAGTAATGAATCTCAAATTAGTGCCATATATTGTCATCTAATGGCTAAAACTAGAAAAGTTTGCAAAAAAAGTTACATTTAGTGAATCTCAAATTTGTGCCATATATTGTGATCCAACTTCTAATACTATAAAAGTTTGCAAACAAAGTTTTCAAAAAGTTCGGACTTGATCACTTCTCTGTTATTTAAGAAAAAAACCATAAAAGCGTCCTAACGCATAAACACCTTATGAAATATAGAACAGAAATAGAAGATGAATACCGGATTGGGTTTTTTATAATCAGGTTTAATATGGCACATCATAGCATCAATATAATCTCCGATTTTGAGCACTTCAGCTTGATAGGTCTTCCTTAACCCAGACATAGAAACATCAGCATCAAAAGTGATATAAAATCTTCTGCCATACCCACAGATGAGATTCACCTTCACAATCTTCACAAGACTGATATTCTCATCTAGGCTCTACAAGGTATGAAAATTGTGAATTAAGCAAGTGATGAATTAAACAACCAAGAATACAACATTATTAATATTATAAAGAGTAAAGCCGTTAGATTAGGTGGTGTTTCATTACATGTTCCCGGTTGTAGAGAGCAATTGCGGATTTAGTCCCAGTCTTTACAACTTCTACAAATTCCTTGTCACCCTCAAAATCGATGGGATGCACCTTGGAAAAAAGCGGCCAATCTGGGAAAACATCGACCTCGTATGGGCCGTACATATTGACTTGATAGGTGTAAAGCTTGAGTTCCTTCCTTAGATTTTCGTCCTCCACATGGGCCCATTCAGCACATTCATTTATGAACTTCACCATTGCTTCATAACGGTCCTCACCGTTATGTGAAATTCCATAATCGGTGTACCAGGGTCGGTCCGTATTAACCTTTGGCATTTTTTGCTGGGGCTCGGAGGTACTAACCTCTTCTTCTTTAGGCATCGCCGGCATAATATTAGTCAGGGTTTCGGGCTGATGAAGAGACATCTCACGTATTTTGCAGGGATTGGCCTCTCCGGATAATGAATTTGGTTATTTGACTATTTCTCTTCTTTATTTCTTTTGTTTTATGTTAGGAGGATACCGCGTAACGGGAGTTGTTGGTTGGAAGGTAGAATTTGAGAATAGTTCTTTGTCCCTACTTTTATTTAGTTGTAGAATAATTAAGTTGGGAAAAAATATGACATGTATGATTAAAAGATGAGAATATTACCCGAAATAGGACTAAAAGGTTTGAAATTCCAAAAATAGGACTGTCATATTTTTATTCCCAAAATAGGACTAATTAATGTCATGTTTTGGCGGTACCAAACTTCAAACATGGCAGTATTTTCGAAACTTGGCAGTAATTACTCCTATTTCGTGAATAAAAACATGACAGTCCTATTTTGGAATTTTCAAACTCTTTTAGTCCTATTTCGGGAACTTTCCCTTAAAAGATTATCTCTACATAAAAATGACTAAAAAAAATTCTTGGTAATTATGGTGTGGTGCCAATGTGGCATTGGTGCTATCATACTAAATTAAGTTATTATTTCCAATGGATTTATGTTTTTAATTGGATTCTTTGGATTTCATAAATAGCTACTCCGTATATTTTTACTCTTTTTAATATTTTTTTTATATATATCATTTATATAATATACATCGCATATTTTTAAGTATATATTTTAAATTGTTTCAATCCAAACCATTTAAAAGTTCCCTTTACTTTTCTTTTTGGAATGTATTTAAAAGTTCCTTACACTTCCATTTTTGATAAGTTTATCGTTTATAAAATACTCAACTACCTTTACTCAACTACCTGATATCTAATTTTTATCTTCTTTTTCATACTTTTACACACTCTCTCTTACTTTTTCTATATTATTCACTACTTTTACTATTATATACTAAAATATTGTGCCAAAAGCAAATGTATGGAACATGTAAATACGGAAGGAGTATAAAAATTTCTATATTTCATTTATAAAATATATGGTGTTGTCAAAATTGCACCAATTATAACATATTGAAACGATTCAATCAGTTTCAATACTATCGAATGGGCTCTCAAGTCTCAACTAGGCCTGGATCGGTTCTTATACAAAATTAGTATAACCGTCACAAAAAACTTAACTAATCGAATCGGTTCGGTTATTATCTAACAATTCAAGAACCAATATGGAACCAAATCAATAGTGAACGGTTCAGTTCTTATTTTTATCGGTTCCTAAACATATATTTTTTTCCATAAAAAAATGACACATACAGCTTACTTTCTACAACGCAAAAACGTTGAAAATTCAAAACACAAGCAATAAGTAGTTTTTGAAGCTCTTATGACTTCAAATATGAAGTCCAAGCTTAATTTATTCAACACTAAATAGAATGAAAGATTTTTTTAATTCTGTTTGTAAAGAAAATATGAAAATTGTTGTCAATAAAAGTCTGGTCACCATAGTAGAATAAGACGTCTAGTTCAAGGTCCTCAAAAAGTTAAAATAGATATTGAATATAATGCATAAGTACAAATATAAATATCATTACATTTCAAATCCTATCAGCATTATTTATACTAGATCTCACAATTAAATCATCTTGAATGTTATAAAGAAAAAATATTTCGAGCCAACACTAATTAATTTGGGTTGCTATTATAATTATGAAATTTCCTTTATAGAACAAAATCAAACAAAACGAGGTTAATGTATGCATCCTCGTCCATTTCCATCATTTAAATTTAAATTGTTGTGTGACTAAATATCATCCACTATATTACTATTATTAGTACTATTATTATAGTTACTAGTTACCCCACTCGTGCGTGCACGGGAGTGAAGAATTCACATAAAAGTTTAAATGTATTATCTCAAAAGTGAAAAAAGCTTAATAGTAAATCAATTAAATGAAAACAATAAATAAAACAAGAAAACGTGTTTAACCATCATCATCACAATTACCCCAGTACAGCAAAGTCACCTACGGTGAGGTAAAAGGGGTCGGATGTACGCAATCTTACTCTTGTACTAAAGTGTGAGAGATAACTCCTGGATGATCATAGTGAAAATCGCGACGAAAGTTGCATGGACTGGTTGTTGTTTCATAAAAAAGAAGCGCAAATAATTCAATGAGTCATTTTGTTTTATTCCATCGTATGTTGCAAGACAAAATTAACGAGTCTTTGACAACATTGCAGATGATGGAAATAAGAAGCTAAGACACGTTTAATAAGAAATTAAAAATAATGATGGTCGGAATTAAATACAACCTTTCATACATAATTGTTTTAAGGAAGACTACAAATTACTATATAAACCTTTTCATGTGCAACAACATTGTTTGGTTGACTATTTTCATCACGTATCACAATCTTCAACTCAGACAAACTTGATTGGTTTACTGTCTTCATTACATATCACAAAATTTGTCACATATCACAACAACATTGATTGATTGCCTTGATTCCTTCTCAAGGCCGCTACGTACAAATATCCATGAATAAAGACATGCCGAGCCGGAAGAAGATGCTAAAATTTTCCAATGTCGATCCTCGATTCTTATTAAATAAATAAAAGTAAATTTAATTTTTTATGTACACCAAAAATGAAATTTAGTTGAAACATTAGTTATTCAAAAAATAAATTACTATTCTAAATTCACGATAATTAAAGTGACTTTAATGATTGGGATAGAACAAAAATATATTTTAATTAATACGTGCGATACATCTAAATTAGCAATAGAGTTCTCATAACTTTTAGTTACGTTTTAATTAATAGTTGTAATTTTATAATCTTTTAGCCTTTTAGGATTGAGAAAACACTGCTACATTTAAGGCTCTAATGTATCACCAATAAGTATTACGATAGTATCAAAAAGTGTTACATTTAAGGCAAATGTCACACTTCTTACCTATTAGTCTATTACATTTGTTTGTGTTGCGTTTGACTTATTGAAACACTTTATAGTTCTTAATGTAACATCATATATCCACAACGTAAAAGTGTTACATTTGAAGGAAAATGTGTTACATTTGATTAAAAAGTTGCATTTGGATATATTTGTTACTTTTTTGTATAGTGTTACAATTTAAGACCTTTGTTACATTATTCTAATACCGTTACATATATGGAATATTGTTCCCTTGAATATGCACGTTACATTTTTTAATAATAGTGTTACACTAGACGTATGTGTGTCTTTGTGTGTGTTTGTGTGTGCGTTCGCAGACACTGATTTTAGAAATGAGATAACATACAACATTATATCCAAATTTTTTATCGTATATCCAAATTAAAAAAATGACATATTAATCACCAACTAACAAGGAATTTAAAAAAATTAATTAAAAAATTAATTTAAAAAATGGCATATTAATCACAACTAACAACCAATAGTACTGCCATAATCCCGTACTATAGAAACTAGTCTTCATGTGATCACCATGAAAAGTACAAAGGCCTAAAGAAAAATAATTTTGAGTGCATCTCGAAGCCTCTAATCTACAAGTTCATCATGTTCATGGTTGTGCAAAGGCAATACCTCTTTAGTCCTCATTCATTCGATTCCAAAATTTCAGTATCCTGCAAATTCCAAAAAAAAACATAATTAGAATATGAAAACTTGCTGACTGTACCATAACACAGCAGCACATAATGACCAATACTACGAGTACGAACCTTTTAATAACAATATATTGGTGATTCGAAAGAAAAAATAGTCAAATGATACCTTAATTGGTTCAATAGTTTCCCTGTTCCGCTGACAATAGTTAGCACTCAAAAAATCACTTGAAGTAACTAAAAATTTAGGAACATTAAGTTAGATTCCAGGATAAATCAGAATTCCAGTACTTAGAAGTTCTTCAAATTGGTTTATCCAAATACTTGTTGTAAAACCATAGAGTTTCATTGGCCAACATGTGAAAATAAGTATTAGAGAATTGCAAATCTGTGCAGTATTTAAGGTGCAAAACCTAAAATACTTTTTAATGCCTGTTGGAGAATTCGTTCAGTAGTAAGAAAATTTTGTTGGTAGTGAAAGCAAACGAAGCCATCCTCAATAATATGTTCTCGCAAACTTTAGAATTCAATAAGGACTTGTTACCTAAATTTACCCAACTTTCACCCTCACGTTCTGCCAATCAATTATCTTAGCTCAAGAGAAGCAAAATAAACTTGATAAGCATACACCATTACTGATAAAATGGGCACATAATCACTAAAACGTAGCATTCAAAAAAATACATTACTAATTGAGTCAGCTTATGGAAACAATTTTACCAAAATGAAAGATGAAGGTCGCAAAAAGGCTCATACCTCACAAATTCCCAGGATGCCCTAGATTAAATGTGATGAATGAGTTCTGTAGCCATTTAGCGCCATCTACACCAAAGGATATCGTGCGTTTTCCGTTCTACTTAATGTGGCAAAGAATAATCGAAGCAAAATAGCTTGTTTTCGATTTTAAAAGAAGAAAGACGGCCATATATTTCAACACGCGGACGCAACTGAGATGAACACCAATCACAGACCACCCCAACAGCGCTCCCTGAAAAACTCTACTCTTACGGATGTGGAGATCCCTGTCACCAAACCATAATCAGTTTCTCTGGCTCTAAGATTCTCACTGATACGAGAAGATAATCGAGACTGCAACTAGAACTTGCCGTCAAGGTGTTACTATGCCATAAAAGATGCTTCTTGAATCTGTAATGATCTAGGCTAAAGAAGCGAAAATCATTAAAAGAAGAGTATGAATTCCCGCTGTAAGAATAGAATTCCAACTGAGATATTCATAGATTCAGCATGAGGGAAGAAGGAGAAAGGGTACGGGGGTGGAGGTGGGGGTAATGGTACGAGAATGGAGGTAGTGGGTAGGTGGGGTCGGGGTTAGAGCTGTCAAACAGGCCAACCCGACTCGACCCATAACGAGTTCTGCTTTATGTGAGTTGGGTCGGGCCAACCCGTTTAATGACGGGTTTGAATTTCTACAACCCTAATCCAACCCACCAAACCCGTGGGTTAAACGGGTTGGCCCGCGGGTCAATGTAAAAAAAATATAATGAAAAAATCTTTAAAAATAATTAGTTAATTACCCGGAAGTATATATTTATAT